GCTCAGGGCTGCTAACCGACCGGTCAATCTCTGCACTTCTTTGAGATTTCTTGGAGCCTCCATATCCACAAATGCCTTTACCTTTTCAGGATTGGGCTCAATCCCCTTCTCGCTCATCATGTATCCCAAAAATTTGCCCCCTCTTACAGCAAAAGCACATTTTTTGGGATTCAGTCTCATGTTTGCTTTCTGCATTATCCCGAACACCTTTTCTATGTCCAGGACATGATTTTCCTTCTTCCTGCTTTTGATCAGGATATCATCAACATAAGCTTCCATTGTGACCCCCAGTACTTCTTTGAATAGCATGCCGATCATCCTTTGAAAAGTTGCCATTGCGTTCTTTAATCCGAATGGCATGACGGTATAGCAAAACACACCATCCGAAGTAACGAACGTCGTTTTCTCCGCATCAGCCGGGTGCATGAATATCTGATGGTAACCCCGGAAAGCATTCATGAAGCTTAGCAATTCACATCTGGCAGTTTCATCTACTAGCAGATCGATCCTCGGTACTGGATAGGGATCCATGGGGCAAGCTTTATTCAGGTCCGAGTAATCCACGCACATTCTCCAAGTAGATTGTTTTGGGGCTAGAACCACATTTGATAGCCATTCTACGTGGATTACTGGACGGATGTGCTTTATTTTCAGCAAGGTGGCCACCTCCCTCTTTGTGAATTCCCGTCGTTCGGTTGCTTGATACCGTTTCTTCTGCTGGACTGGTTTTGCATCAGGCCGAACGGCAAGTTTGTGACATATTATCTCCGGATCAATACCGGGCATATCTTCTGGCCCCCGGGCAAACAATACCTGAAACTTTTTTAGGACGGCAATCACGCCATCCCGGATGTCAGCCTCCAGATCTACCCCGATAGCTACCTTACGGTTCAGGGGGGAATCCAGGTCGATTTGTTCAAGAAGAGTGGCGGGTTCTGGGTGTGCCTCGAACTCCGTTCGGTGGGTTTCCACCTCAATTGTATTAACCCGCATCCCACGAGTGTTCATCTGTTTCAGGGCCTCTCGATAACATGTCCGGGCTGTCGTCGGATCAGTTCTGGCCACCCCAACCCCAGTGTCTGTAGGGAATTTGATGCATGAGTGGAGGACAGAGGCTATTGCCTCCAGATCTTCCAATCCCGGTCGGCCCAATATGGCATTGTGGGCACACTTTATATCCACCACCACGAACGTCATTCGGAGTGACGCTCTGTGCATTTCATCCCCAATTTCAACCATCAATTGGATGGTCCCCTCAGCCTCAATGCAATTACCAGTGAAACTTGCCAGTGGGGTCCGTAGGTGGGTCAGTTGACTTCTTTGTAGACCCATTTTTTCGAATGATTGTAGATACAATACATTCACACTGCTCCCGGTATCGACCAATACTCGGCGGATCAAAGCATTGTCAATACACATGCTCACCACCAGTTCGTCCCTGTGCGGGCTTGGAGAGTTGGGTAAATCAGCTGGCCCGAACGTGATCGGGTCCGTCCTTTCCTTCTTCTGGGGGGGAGCGGAGATGGATCCCACATAAAGACCTCGCTCGAACCTTTTCCGTTCGGCGTTCGAATCCCCTGTCTCCCCGCCCCCGAATATAACCTTGACCTCCATTCGAGGTTTCTTTCCAGGGCCTCCCGAGCCCTCTGGTTCATCCCTGGGGGGAACATATACGTCATTTTGAGGCTGGGCATCACGTTGGGCATCCCGGCGCCAGCTATTAGGTTTCCTGATTGGTTTCAACGTGCCCACAGCGTTTGGATCCTTATTCACATATTTGCCCAGGTGACCTCGTCGGATCAAATCCTCAATGGCTGTTTGTAGGGCCCTGCAGGCATTGGTGGCATGACCCTTCCTGTTGTGATATTTACAGAAAGCATTGTCATCCGCTCCCATAAACTGTCCAGAATCAGTCGGGAGGGGAATATTGTCCCTCTCGTGCTGATAAATGGTCGCTACTGATAGGACCAGGGGAGTAAATCTCCCTTGCTTGGGAGGCATAGCGGCCGCTGGGCTAGGACCCAGCCGATCGGCCATTCTGATCGGGGCAGCAGGCGCAATGACCTTATCCCTGATCATTATCTCCTCTTCTAGAGCGGCATGCTTGCGAGCCCTGTCTAATACCTCGGCGTACGCTGTACCCGGATTTTTCTTCAGATCCTTGTATAACTCCCCCGTTCGGAGAGCGTTCGTGAATAGGGTAATGGCGGTATCATCCGTCATGTTTCCCACTGTCAGAGTTTCATCCCTCCATCTCTTCAGAAATTGATTGAGGGTCTCTTTGACGTTCTGCTTCACGCTGGTCAGATAGCTGAAGTGCCGTTTGGGATTGGCACTGGAAGCAAACTGGGCCAAGAATAACGCTGATAATTCGGCGAAACTGTTGATTGACCCAGGTTGGAGTGTCCCGAACCACTCCTGGGCAGGCCCTCTGAGCGTGCTAAAAAACAACCGGCAAATAGCAGCCTCAGGTGCTCCTAGCAGCATGAGTCCCCCTTGGTAACTCCTCAAATGCACATGGGGATCTCCCACCCCGTCATAGATTTGGCCGGTCGGTGGCTTGGCACCGCCTTGGATGTCTGCGTACATGAGTTCCCTAGTGAAAGGGGAAGTAATTCCCAGCTGAACTGGGGCAGGTTGTACAGGCGCCCTGTTCATTTGATCCTGCATCTCGTTCATCTGCCTCCTCATCTCGGCCATTTCTTCCTCCTGGGCCGTCAAAGGGGGCGGTGGTGGAGCCCTCATGTCCGTATAGTCCCGGTCCCAATGCCGTTGAGGGGCCCTGGTATTCTCCCGCTCGGCATACTGGAAATGATGACCAATGGGAGTTGGTCCTCTAGCTTGTGATCCGATCGGGGTTCGGTCACTGGGACTATGGTGTGCTGTTGGTGGGGCGCTGCGTCGATTATCCCGATGGGCATGCGAACGGGATGACGCTGTGGTTGTTTCCGTGCGTGGAGTCTCCCCTGTAAAGTTGGACCCTCCTTCCTCCTCGTTCGCCATATGCTGCATGACCTGGGCCATGTCTCGCATGGCCTGAGGATTTCTTCTCAGAGATTCGGGAATCACAAAATCCCCATCAAAACGAGGATACGATCCTTGGCTGGATTGTCCCTGAGGGTTTTGACTCCCCGGGGTGTGACTCCTCCCGTGACGGCGTGAACCGTCGTTTGTATGATAGGAACTGATTCTGACCATTTTTGAAAATAGTGGTTTTTTGGATGTTTTGAATGTGAAACTTTTTGTAAGTTTCCCACAGACGGCGCCAATGTTGAGGGTAAATCCCGTAGATCCGAAAGCCCAACACGAACTTTGGATATATCAGGAATGACACAGAATCAAGGTGTATAAACAAAATATAAAATATGAACTCACTAATACTCGAAATCTCACTTGTATTAACTAACCAGTCTGATTACAAGAAATTTCCCGATCGGTAGGTCGGAAACAATACTTTAATACAAGAAACAAGAGCAATGATGCTATTCTAGAGCCTGAGTATTGAAATGCTAACTCTTACAATGATTTTAAACCTTCTATTTATACTAATGGAGAGCATGGGCTGCCCTGTGCTGATTGGCTGTTGCTCCACCGACTTGGTCACCCATGTTTCCACTTGCCGATGTCATAATCTGGCATTAATTGCACCTGGCCACTTGTCGGTTGTCCGTTGCATGAACGGGATGTTGGACTATGCTGAAGACGCTGTCAAATTGACCCAAGTATGATATATAGCCCGAACACCGTTCAGTATGTCTTCTTACTGAGCCAACCTTTATCTGGGCCGAATCTCGTTCGGCATGAATTCTTTACTTGATCTACTCATCATAGAGTGATGGGCCCGTTGCTTGGGACGGGTATCTTGGGCCTTCTTGATCCAGGTATTGGGCCTCTAGGTCAATATCCCAACAACAACAACAACAACAACAACAACAACAATAATAATAATAATAATAATAATAATAATAATCCCTCCGTCTCTTAAAACTATGGGACGTCCCAAAAAAATTGTCACTTTCCCTTCTAATCAATTATTTTGTGGTTCCTGATATTTCTCTCCTCTGCACAAACATCAACCACCAAGTTTTTACTTTATTATTCTTCATGCCGATCAAATTTGACAAAGTTTTAAGAGACAGAAGTAATATGACAACAATAACGAATACGTTTGTAAGCATGGTTTTAATTTATAATAATAGACCCATAAAAAATTCACATGTACATAATACTATAAAATACAATATATATATATATATATGTATATATATGTAAATAATATATGTATCAATAAACACACACACATATATATATGTAAATAATATATGTATCAATAAACACACACACATATATTTATATATGTATCGGTATGTAAGAAAATCAATAAAAACAAATTGGAAGCAGTATAGAACCAACAAAACAATATGGAAACGGTACATTCAATACTGATTAGGAGTGGACTCGGGTCGGGCCAACCGGCCCGGAACCGGACCGGCCCGCTACTGTGCGGGCCCGGACCGGCCCAGTGAACCGGTTGGTGCCCGGTTCAGGCCACCCGGCCCGGTGAGGTAGGCGCGCCGGGCCCGGGCCTTCTAAAACGTGAACCGGCCTGGCCAGTTCGGGCCCGGTCCGGGCCAAATTATTTTTTTTTTCTTTTTTTTTTTTGAATTTTTTTTAAGTTTTTGGGTTGGGCTGGGTATGATGGGCCATTTGAGGTGGTTTGGGGTGATTTGGGGGTGAGGGTTGGGGGTTAATTAGGAAAAGCCAAAAAAAAAAATATAAGAACCAAGGCCCGGACCGGAACCGGGGGAACTCGGGCCGGTTCCGGGCCTCCCCTTTCATGAACCGAGGCCCGGCCGGGCCCAGGCCCGAACCGGGCCCGAACCGGAACCGGTCCATCCCTAATACCGATACCGATTATCGGGGAGGGAAACTGGTAGGGAATGAACCTGTTCAGAAATCAGAATTGCGGTCAATCCATCCCTATCACACATTCACACATACTCTAGAATGGTTGTTTGATATTCAAAACTTCAAAGTATCTATTACAACAAAGAAAGTAGGTAAAACATATTATTGTATAATTGCTACCATTTATATGTGAGGTTGTCGAAGCTTCCTAATCTAGTTTATAAGCACATTCACAAAAGGCAATGTAATAACAGTTTGCGAAATCCATATAATATACTCGTAAAAACTGGCTTAGATTGAATCTTCTTATTATCCATTTTTGTTAATTAGTTTTACGTTGCTGATAAACTCCCCACATGCTTCTCTATGTACCAAGGATACATCTCCAAGAGCCTGCAAATTAAGAAATGTAGTAGCAAATAGTAAAGTTAGTAATTTGAATACGTTTTTCAAATTCTAGATAGACAGTTTTAACTCAAGATGGATTAGAAATGAATAGTGCAGCCTGCTGTAGTTCTAGGCAGCTTCAACTCAAAAACTCAAATTCTAGGCTGCTTCAACTTAAAATGAATTGCTGCAAATCGTATTCTTCCTGAATCAAGAGACTAATTCACATAGGAAATTGAATAAACGTGGATCTAAAAATTGGCTCAAATCATAATTATTAGATCTAAATGAGTTAACAATTTTTAAACTAATGAAAAATAGAAAGATGATCTCGGTGAATCATAAATTTTTTTCAGTTCAACAATTCAGTTGATAGCGAACCGTATGCAAGAAATTAATAAACTTTTTCTGTAAGGCAAAGGAGTCATGAAAATTAGCTCCAATCACAGCAGAAAATTTGCTCCGAATAAAAATGAAAAACTGAAAGGCATGGTATCCAATCAATCAATCTTGTGAGGGTAAACCTACAGCAACCACCATTTTTAAATCATTACAAAGATAAAAAATATTTGAATTGGGATAAAGGTTACTTGAATCAAGTGTATATTGTAAAATGAGATATATTTTTAGGGTATTGTATAGATACAAATGTGAGCCTATGTCTGTTTCATTAGGCATTGTGATTCTCACTTTGAAACTTCCATGACTAAGCCTTTTGGCATAGGTTAATTAGAAATAAACAGGATAATATTAACTCTATAAATTAAAAGAACACACACAAATTAAGACATTCTTATTCGTTGTGCTACCTTTTAGGCTTTTACCTATGTCTTCATCTTGATACTTGAGCCTTGAGATTGAAAAATAAATTTAAAATACACTTTACTATCATTCCTCACACCATACTGAATTAGGAAAGTCACTAAAAATAAAATGATTATTTCTATGCAACAAAGATAAAGATACTCGCAAAAATTAATGCTAGTCACTTGAGCCTTGAGTTACAATATACTTCGTATATATCAATTCAAATTATAAAGATAAAGATACTCGCAAAAATTAATGCTAGTAAAAAACGAATTCAGGTGTATTGCTCCCTTTGATGTTATATTCTTATGTCATCCTCTATGAAAAAAACATTTATCAAACATGTAAAAAGTTATGAAAATGAAGTTCAGTTTATATGCTAAATGAAAACCTCAATATTGCTATTATGTAAATGTATTCATCATTCGAACATATACTAAGAAGTCTTAATAAACTGTTATATGATTATACCTACCTAATCCAAATAAGTCTGGCCAATGCTTGACACCTGAAGCCCCAGGTCAGATCTCGAAAAAAATCTGTCTTCTTCATCCTCTAAGTTTCTTTTAATTGAGACATCAAGAGTTATAACCGCTTTTTCTTTGAAGCTGCAATTGGGGTCTTAACGTTACTCGCAGAGAAATTAATCTGGAATAAAATGAGTTCAATAGTATGAGGGGTTAACCCCATTAAATGAACCAAAGAATAAGTAATACCACACAAATACTATAAGGCCTATATTACCATTTCTGCCTCTGTTCCACCAAGTTGGTTGCTTGGTATAGAGCGATCAACATTGCTAACAGAACCACTCTGAATAACAACAAAAATATTATATACGTAGTATATATCATATCAAATCCATTCAAATAAGAATCAAAGTCAACTTGATCAAAGTATTATTTTATAGAACACATGTATCTTTATTACAAACACATAGCTATCAAACGTATCAACGTTGAGTTTGAAGATGAGATAAACCAAGAGCTGAGAATGTTTTTTGAAATACTGAGTATATAAAAAAAAAAACTACCCTTATGCCTAGTTCTAGTGGTACCTTGACACCAGAATCTCCTTGGAAGAAACTTTATCTGTCTTCTTCTTCCTAAAGTCTGCAAGCCGCAAAACCAGAGCCTAGAGAAGCAAAAGTTGGCAGTCCTCCACTTGCCTCGCCGGCCACCTCCACTCACCTTGGTGTCACCACTCTGCTGACCACCGTAGCTGAAAAGGAAAAAATAGTGTAAAAATATTTAGCGCCATCACTCTGCACGGGAAAAATTTAGCAAAAAATATATCCTGTTATTTGTAAAAGCATATCCTATTATTTGAAAAAAATTAGCAAAGGATATATCCCAAGAGCCTGGTTAGTAAAAATAATACATATACTAAAAGAATATAAAGATATATACTAAAAGAAAGTAAAAAAATACACTAAAAGAAAATAAAAGATAATGCATATCAAAAGATTTATAAGAATAGAGAAGAATCAAAGCATAATGTTAACAAATTATGAAAAATATATAAGTTAGGATACAAATCAAGTACTCCTTATTATACGGAGTAGACATCAAAGTATGATCTCCTCTTGAACATTAAGATGTAATGTCTTTCATGACACAGGTTCACCTAAACTCAAGACCATCTCCCAACGGACAACTTCCAGCCAATAATAGCATGAACAATAACCGCATTTTCCTTGATTTCACATCATCAAGAACAATACGAACATTGGCAGATAGATAATGAAACATTCGGACCACAAAGTACCTTCTGGTAGACTGGTAATAATGGTCCTTGCGTTAGGAGCTTTTGATAACTCGAAGAGCCAATACCGATTAGGAGCTTATGATAACTTAAGTTACCTTCGTGAGTGAGAAGGTAATTTAAAAGAGCTATTGTACATTCTGGTAACTTGAGTAAGGAGCTATTGTAGCAATACAATCAATGAGCCTTGCACCAGGTCCAAATACTCTTTTAATTACTCTTTTAATAAACTATTCCTAACTCAAGTTACCTTCTCAAGATCAAAAGCTCCAGCCAACAATAGCTACCGCCAGCCGCCACCTCCTACCAGCCATTCCTTGATTTAGAACAAACAACAATGTAACAAAGATGAGAGCAGCATCGTTCACTGTTTCAAGCAATACTGCAAAATTAATTATTCAGTGATTATAAGTTACAACTCAGAGAAAATTAGATGCCTTTCTTGTATTATCATTTGTTCTGTGTTTGATACATACCTGCTTCCAGACTAACAATGATAAGGTGTCTCAGCTATTCAATGTTTACTTTTTTTAGTTTATCAAGCCATGAAGAAGCTCTCTTTAGAAGAGCCATATTACGAATTACAAATATAGTTGTAACAATTGAGAATATCTGTACCAAAAAGTCCAAGTATAATAACAGCAATCCATGTATAATCCGAACACACATAACTTCAAAAAGTTTGATCTACTACGTGTTAGGGACCGGGCCTATAGATACTAAGAATAAAGGACCGGGCCTATTAGAGTATTAATAAGAATAAAGTGTAGAAGTTTAGTATAAATAGAAGATAGCAGGGGAGATTTAGTAGGCTGTTTAGACTTTATCATTCTGGGACTTGGGAAGATCGAGAGCTATTCTCTTTCTTTTGGGGGGCTTCGGCTCAATTGGGGGCTCCAGCCATTGGTTACAATTACTGTTCTTCTCTAATAAAATTGCAGTTAGTTTTCTTGAATATTCTTCTATAATCTTCTGTATTACTGTACATCCTTATCATTGGTATCAGAGACTGGTTGTAGTTGTGAATGGTTGGCACGAGGAAGAAAATGGAAGGCAGGATGGCAGAAATGGAACAGAACGTCGAGCGAGGTCAGCGGGAATTAGGTGCGAAGATCGATACGAAGTACGAAGAATCGCTGGCGATGATGCAAGCTGGATTTGCCGAGTTAAAAAATCAAAAAACATATCGATCAAGAAGTAGGTCGCATCGATCATCTGAGTCGCATCGATCATCTGCCTCGCATCACACATCTACATCGCATCACACTTCTCACCATCATCGATCACCTCACCATCATCGTTCGCGACAATCGGCAAGTTCAGAGGGATCGGAAAACAATTCCGACTATTCTCCTCCACGTCGACATCAACACCGCCATCATCACAGGGAACGTCATCCTCATCATACAGGTAGAAAGATCGACTTACCTATTTTTAATGGAGAAGATGCTTCTGGATGGTTGGTTAGAATGAACCGATATTTTCGCTTGAATCAAACTAAAGAGGAACAGAAAATTGATGTCGCTGTAGTGGCCATGGAGGACCAAGCTCTCAGCTGGTTTCAATGGTGGGAGAGACAGGCTACGCATCAAAACTGTGACTCTTTTACTCAAGCTTTGACCAAGCGATTTCAACCTGATATGGTACAGGATCCACTAGGGCCTCTGTTTAGCCTGAAGCAGAAGGGGACAATTCAGGAATACCGAAATAAATTTGAAAAGGCTATCGCTTCACAAGGCCACTTAACTGAAGAAGTCTTGAGAGGAGCCTTTCTTAAGGGGTTGAAAAGAGATATAAGAGCAGAATTGAAGTTACATCGAACTAGGACATTGGCAGAAGTTATGGATACTGCATCCGCGATTGAGAAAAAGAATTCTGAAACTTTCTTTGTGAAAAATAAGGATGAAGGAAGGAGGAAATGGCAGACTTCTCCTATCATCCGATCTTCAGGCCAGAAATGGGGAGATGAAAGCAGGAAAGAAGGTCCAAGCTGCGTATCTAATGAGGCAAGTCCCAGACTATCCCAAGAAGAACTATTAAACAGAAGCAAGAAAGGACTCTGTTTTAAATGTGGTGAAAATTGGGGAAGAGGACATGTCTGCAAGATGAGGAACTATAAAATGATCCTAGTGGAGAATTCAGAGGGTGAAGCTGATTCTGAAGTTGAATTACTGGAATCTGGCAGGGATAAGACCACACCTCTAGAATTGAAGACCATGCAGTTTTCTTTAAGTGATGAGATAGACATAACCCCTGTGAAAACATTTAAGGTGACAGGTAAACTGAGATGGCATGAAGGTGAAAACACAGTAAATGTACTCATTGATGGAGGTGCTACACACAATTTTATGTCACTAAGCTTGGTGGAAAAGTGGAGGATTCCTTATACTCCTTTTCAGGGAAATAGGGTGCAGTTAGGGAATGGAGAATGTATTCAAATCTGTGGCAGGTGTGCAGATGTAGATCTGAATGTGCAAGGAATTAGTAGTCACCAAACTTATTACTTATTGGAGCTGGGGAGCACGGATTTAGTCTTGGGAATGGACTGGCTAACAAGATTGGGAGACACGGAGATTAACTTCCAAAGTCAGACCTTCAAATGGGAAGTACAAGGGCAGAAGGTGATTTTACAAGGAGATGAATCATCAAGTGAACAGGATGTTGAAGGAAGAAGTGTTCATACTGTTCAAAAGCATGAAGTAGTTGTCCCCTATATTGCAGCAGGCCGCACCTGGGTCTTCCAAAAATCTGCAGGAATCAAAGTTTTGGATCAAATTTTCTGGCCTCTGTAGAACTATGCTATGAATTACATAGAGTGGAAGATGGAAGTAGTAAAGCAAAAGATCCAGAAGACAAATCTGTATTGGAGAGGGAGGGGTGCTAGGATGAAAGAAAAGAAGAAATTGGTGGCTGTGTCCTATCACCCACCTTGAGGGCAAGGTGGATGTTTAAGGGGGGAGTATTGTTAGGGACCGGGCCTATAGATACTAAGAATAAAGGACCGGGCCTATTAGAGTAATAATAAGAATAAAGTGTACAAGTTTAGTATAAATAGAAGATAGCAGGGGAGATTTAGTAGGTTGTTTATGTTTAGACTTTATCATTCTGGGACTTGGGAAGATCGAGAGCTATTCTCTTTCTTTTGGGGGGCTTCGGCTCAATTGGGGGCTTCGGCCATTGGTTACAATTACTGTTCTTCTTCTCTAATAAAATTGCAGTTAGTTTTCTTGAATCTTCTTCTATAATCTTCTGTATTACTGTACATCCTTATCACTACGCTTTCTACCTATTTCTCCAATTTAAGAAAGATGAAGCTTATTGCAACAGAGCAGAAAGCACATCTTTCAAATTTCTGTGTCTTCATTGATCTCTCTCTCTCTCACACACATATATATATAGATGATGAAATGCAAATAACATTGCCATCAACAAACTTACAATTAAAATTTCAAATTCAAACTTGGGATACATGAAGTGGGGCGAACCTGGATCTGATTGGAACATGTTGATTGCCTGGTGTTGCTAAAACGTTTAATTTCTCGAAGCTCAGGAGTCCAGGAAAGGACCACATCTGACCATTTGATTAATCCGTAGCTGCAGTTTAAGGCTGGCCGGCGTGGCCCAAGCTATATAGTTCCGCTGACGCTAAGACACAATCCCTGTCTACTCGCCATCGAATGCGCAAGCAGCCATAGCTGGATCTGGTAGCAAATGTGGCACATCACCAGTCGCCGGCGTCAAATGATGAATGAGTCGTTGCTGGCTATCCCTGCGGAATTTCCATAGCCAACTGCTATCTCCATCCCTGGGGTCACGCTGAAAGGGCCGACCACACCCAGATGTTAGCGATGATCTACCAACAACAACCGAGAATCCCAGTCCGGCTCAAGTAATGCCCTATTGTCATCCACCATAAGCCTCTGGTCCGCTTTTAATGGATTAGCGCCAAATATCAGTCGAGAAGATTGAGATGTAGATCTACAATGGACAGGGGAAATAGAAATGAAGATCGGGCAATAGACTGACCCTTTCTCATCCCTCTTTCTTCAGCAGTAATTCACTGCTTATAACCTTTGGTTATAACCTTTGGTTATAAAAGCTTCGTACTTTAGTGCTTTACCCAATGTATTGGCGTTACAACACGCTAACGCACTGACACAGCCAACCGAACCGGCAATACCCTATCAATATGGGTTGGATCGAGCTTTTACCCATGATTTGACATTTTTGAGCGGGAGAATTGAGCTGCTTTCCACCTCCTTTTGTATATAGATAGATAATTACGGCTGCATCTGTTAACCCTCTACTAGAAATGGCCTGCAATCAACGACAAAGCTCATATTCTACGTCTTCATCATGCACAAAAGATTTTGTTCCACCATAACCCCTGTCTTTCATTTGCGCAATTAAATCTTCCAAAAGCGCATAGACATCACCAGCACAAGGATGAAATTTATCACCAGCAACAAATATATGTTTTTTCTGCTCAACTACTATCCAACTGCAGCCAGGTGGTTTCCTCACTCCTTTCTCTTTCATCTTTCTTCTCAAGGAATTAACCCTCTCCCAGTCCCCTGATGTTGCATAAATATTAGCAAGAAGTATGTAAGAAGATGAATTTAGAGTTTCCATCTCAATTAGTTTTTCAGATGCATGGTGTCCTCTTATGCCATCTCCATGGAGTCTGCAAGCACCAAGATATGTGGCCCATATCATAGCATCAGGCTCAATGTCTAATCTGTCAATGAACTCCTCCGCTTCCTTGAGAAATCCCCATCTGCCAAGAATATCTATCATACAGGCACAATGATCAAGTCGTGGTTGAATGCCATAACAAGAAGTCATCTGGTCATATATAGCACGGCCTTCAGATACCAGTCCCACATGACTGCAAGCAGTGAGAAGACCTAGGAAAGTGATTTCATCAGGTTGTACATCAGTCTGCTTCATTTCACTAAAAACCTTCAGTGCATCATCTGCAAATCCATTTTTGGCAAACCCAACTATCAGTGAGTTCCATGAAATAACGTCCTTCTTGCTAACCATTTCATCAAATACTTGTGCTGAACGTTGAACATCACCACATTTAGCGTACATGTCAACTAAAGAACTGCTTATCAACTCATCCTTGTCAAAACCAGTATGAAAGATGAGACAGTGGATCTTGCTACCATCTGGAAGAGAAGCAAGGGTGGAACATGCTTTTAGTACACTTGCAAATGTTGCTTGGTCGGGCACGGCATTACATAAACGCATTTCTTGATACCATATCAACCCCTCCTCAGTGCACTCCACAAGGATATTACTAGAAATCATTGCAGTCCAGAGTACCGTGCTTTTTGGATCAGGAAACTCTGAAAAAAGGAGTTTCACATCTGCCTGTCGTAGGGATTTAATGTACATGCAAACCAGAGTCATGGCTAAGAACTCATCACTGTATGAAATTCCAAGTTTTACAATGAAACAGTGAAGTTGCTGCCCTAGATGTAGCTTATGAGGGTCACCACAGGCATCTAACACACATGCAAAAGTCACTTCAGATGGTCTTAGACCTTCAACAAGCATATTTCTCAACAGATTAATGGCATGTTCTGTGTTCAACTGAGCATAGCCTCCTATCAAAGCATTTGTGGAGACTATGCTCCTCTCACGCATACAAGAGAATACTTCAGTTGCAACCTCAATGTTACCACACTTGCAGTACATGTCAACAAGTGAACTTCCAGCAAAACAACCTGTTTCTAGCCCAACTTTAATCAGAAGACAGTGCACTTCTTTCCCTTTGCCAAGAGCTTTTTTATTAGCAGATGCACTAAGTACACTAGCCAAAGAGACCTCATCTGGGGTAATTCCCTCCAGCATCATTTTTTGAAACATATAGAAACCTGTTTCATCTTCACCCTCCTGTACAAACCCAACAATAATAACATTCCATGATATATGATCTCTACATTGTATCCGATCAAATTGTTGCAAAGCATCACCAAGAGCTCCACATTTGGCATACATATCTACTAAAGCATTTCCGATGTATAGGTTAGATCCAAAAAATTGATTCTTGATGATGACAGAATGCAATTGTTGGCCCATATCTATATCTTCTAAACAAGCACATGCACTCAAAATGCTAGTGTATGTATATTCATCAGGTTGAAACCCAGAGAGTCTCATATTCATAAAGTGGTTTAGGACTTCAAAACCATTACCATTCTGGGCATACCCAGCAAGCAATGCATTCCACAATACATCATTTTTTTCGACCAATCCATTAAACACTTCTTTTGCAACTTCCATTTTTTGACACTTCGCATACATGTTAATCAAAGAACTCCCTACATATATATTTGATTCCAGACCCTGCTTAACTGCCAAAGCATGAACCTGCAGCCCATAAACAAGATTTGCTTCACCTGCAATTGCACTCAAAACACTTCCCAAGGTTGACCGAGTGGGTTTAATGCCAACTTGTACCATGTCATGAAAACATTGTATAGCTACTACTTCCTTTCCAGCTTTTGTGTGTCCGGATATCATTACATTCCATGCCACAACATTTGGATAAGGCATCTGGGAAAATATGCGTAGAGCAGCATCCAGCCTTCCTAGTCTGGCACATGCATTGATGATTGTCACATAAGTCACCTGATCCAGCACACAGCCTAGTTTCTGCATCTCCTCAAAAAGCGTCATTCCCTCCTGATGTAAACCAACTTTAAAGTAACCAGAAATCATCACCGTCCAAGAAATGGTGTCAGGCCTCACCACATCATCAAAAATCCTTCTAGCATCCACCAAACATCTGCATTTTGCATACATATGAATCAGAGAACCTTCAGTAAATGAATTAAACTGATACCCTCTCTTCACAACACTACAATGTACTTGTTTTCCCAGCTCAACATCCATCAGCCTAGCACAAGTTGACAAAACTATGGCATAAGTGAACTGATTTGGCAACTCACCACTACTCCACATAAGTTGAAATATGTCTATAACATTTTCCAACAATCCTTGTTTTGAATACATCGATGCCATCGAGTTCCATGCAAAAATATCCGTCCTTTCAAGACACATAAAAGCCCCTATAGCCAAATCCATTTCTCCACATTTAGCATATAAATCTACAATTGCATTCCCCAGATTACCTTTTGACGCAAACCCATGGCTTACGCTTTTCCCATGGATAGTCTTGCATGTGCTCAAAGCACACACCACTCTTTGCGGCATTTCATCGTGTATCAGGTGGGATTGGATTTGCTTGCATTGATGCAAGCATAGTTTTAAGAGGTGGTTGTAGGTAAGATTTTCAGAATAAGACCAAGGCTCAATGGGTGGGATTCGAAATTCAGTAACAGTTGAGGAAACAAATTGGGGGCGTTGGAGTGGAATTGACTTTGTGTTGAGCTGTGATAGCTTACGACAATGAGCTATGATGCACATTGAGTTGTCGATGACTCTACCAGGACTTGTTCGCAGATTTTTGGGGTCTCTCTCTTTCTCTCTATATATATGTGTGTGTATGTATATGTATATATATACTCCATCCGTTTCTGAAACAAGTTCCACTTTTTTCCTTTTCGGGCAGATTCAAAATTAAGTTCCACTTTCAAACATTTCCTTATTTGGCAAATTATCTACATCAAAACAGTGTCAAACAGTGTGAAACAATGTTCAAACAGTGCCAAACAGTGCACTCCACAGTAAACTCAAATTTATTTTCTTAATAATGTGTGAAGTCAAATGTGGAACTTGTTTCAGAAACGGAGGGAGTATATGTGTACATATATAGAGAAATTTTGTCAAGAGGGATTTTCCCACCTAAACATCTAAAGTCTTCCAATCAACTGGAGCAGATAAGAATACATGGGAAATATTTCTGGATGTGTATAGCAAATAAATAATGCCTGGGAAAGGTAAGTAGATATTATTTCATGTCAGGGACCACTTCAGGTCATGCATGACAGGGTAGTAAGATGTATACGGAGCAGTCACACCACTTACATGTAGAGTAATAAAGCATCTGGACTTTACCAATCCCAAGATACTTTAATGGGTAGATTAATCGAAATCAAAGAACCTGGCCTTTAGCCCTGTTGCCCCTTTACTGTCCCCAAAATGCTTTAACGGAATCACAGGTAGATGACAGACTTTCACATTTTTTGAAGCATGTGGATTTTTAAGAAATATGTCTTTCTCCTCCAAAAGATTACTTACTCAGGAGCCCCCGAACCAGTGTTGTATTCAGGTTAGTTGTATTGAGATAAAGAGTGCTCAGAGGAGAAGGAACCTGGCCTTGTTTGAAGGCTATGCTCTATCCGTCAGCTCTCTAAACCTGGGAAAGTAAGTTGTGTAGACAATCATATCTGAAGAGCAAATGATTTCATGAGAAAAAAGACACACAGACAAACACATAGAAAAGATGACAAACAAACATTCCAAAATTTTCATGTCACAGTCTATGAGTAGCTAGAGACTAGAGTCTAATGGCAAACAGAAAGATAAACTATTACGATTACACAAACATCTTAGTTTATTGGCCGAATCGAGTTGATGTGTGTGTAACTTCATAGAGTTGGCACATTGTGGAGCATCTGACCATTACTGTCCGGCATATCTCCAAGTTGTATGATTAATTGACTGAAACTGTGTCAATAATGTTGATGGATATTGAATACCCATACATGTATAGAGAGGTAAGAGCTAGAGAGAGAAGGGGGAAAGTATATGTTTAGGCAGAAAATAATTATTCTACTAACAATCTATTTGTGAGATAGGGAATCGTACAAGATAATATTCAACGAACGTATGATCAACGTATGAATCAATATTAATCAATTTTCGAATGAAAAACAAGAATGAGTATATTTAGTGAGCCAAAAGATCATACGTCCTCTCTTCTACCGCTAGTCTATTTAAAATAAAAGTTTCAGCCTTATCCCCCACGTGGACGAACTGCCCAGCAAAATGATAGCCTCTCCTACTAAGGCGGGAATCGTTCCTCCATTTTCTCCTCAAATTCATAGGCCTCCTTATCCACTTCGTCACATTATTTGATTAAGCCGGACTCTGTAGAATTCTTAAGGCTACGTGGGTTGATCCGTTCAACAAATCCAAACCCAACAATGGGCCGATTCGCTTGACAAATCCGGGCCCAACAATTGCGCGCCCCTAAAATTTGAAGTAGTAAACGTTGCTAACTTAATCCAATAGGCCGGTTACTTCTTTGAATTTTAAACGTTTTGATGCCGCCTCGAAATAGACGAAACCGTTAGTCTCCTTCATCGAGCAGCCAACCTTTTGTCAGACCAACCCCCTTTTCAGTCATAACCCCTCTTCTGTGAAAATAACTTTCATCTAGTTCTTGCAGAAACTCATTGTGAGAATCCATGGCGTCTCAACGGTTTATCCCTCAACACATCCTGGATCCGAAGAATGTAAAACAGGCCAAACTCTCTGAAAGTCATATCGATGCTATCAAGAATGGTTCCAGATTCCCAGCGCATGCATCCATCCGGTTTCCGGCTGCCAACGAACGGGTTGATTGGCATTGTGATGGTTGGGTCAACTTCTTCATGTATCCCTTCAAGATTGGTATGAGTTCCATTTTTCTTCCTTAGCTAGAGATTTCTTGGCCTTTGTCAAAGTTTCCCCTTCCCAAATAATGCCACAAGTATGGAGGGTTCTGCGTGGTTTGGAAGTATCGAGTGAAAAACACTGCATCCCCTTTACCTTCGAAGATCTGGGCTTTACCTATGATCTTCGTTCTTCTGGAGCTGGACGGTTCACCCTAGCTGTCAAAGATGCTCGCGAAGCGTTAATATTGAGGGCGGACAAAGCTAATGATCGCGGCTGGATGAGTCAGTTCTTCTTCGTACAGAAAGATTCCCTGGGTTCTGAGGGTGCATTTCTTGAAGAGAGTTTACACAAAGGTATCTTGACACTTTCTTGCTTTTCATATGAATTTCAAATGTATTCAGTTGCTATACGGCTGGTCTACAATACGTCAAAATGCATTACCGTTTCCATCGTTGGTTTTTGTAGATAGAAAGACTATCCCACTGAGCTATGGTCCGAACTCTGAAGGAAGGACTGCCAGAATTTTATCTATAACCACCGCCGAGCGGACCTTTGGGAATCTGGTGGCTGATAACGAAGGTATGTCTCCCACCCCTGACCATTCTCGGTCCGTTGGATTAAGGCGTTCTCGCCGTAATATTCAGAATGTCCCTAACAATGTCCAAGGCTCGCGTGCGGTCTCCGTAGACGATTCAGACCATGAATCAGAAGCTTCAAGGGGTGGAGGTGAAAATGCAAGTGCCTTTGTTCCTCTTCAAATGGTGTTTCTCGTGGGTCAGGACTCCTGTTCTCTTCCAGCGAAACGTTCTGCTCAACATGCTGGTACTTGTTCCTGTTATTTCAATTATACGTCAAATGCTGCTTTGTCTAGAACGTTAATATATGTACATATTTTCTCTTATCACAGCTGTTTCCTCGTCTAGCACGCGGCTGATGCCTTCTGATTATGACCTCCTTAACATGATTTCAAGAAAAAAGAAAGTTCCATCTAAGCTGGCCTCTGGCTGTTCCAAAGCTCCACATTGCCCGAATATTGAGATGAAAACTTCTCCTCCTCTTCCAGTGAGTGTCGTCGCCAATCCTGACTCTGGTGTGAAAATGAACGCCTCTTTTTCTCGTGACTTTTGCTGTTTGAAGGACGCTATTTATGATGGGAAGTGAAATGCCTCAAGTTCTGCTTCCCTCCTCGTCTGCTGTATTTTCAGATGTCTCTTCAGCTGGTCTGGCGTTGGCTTCATCGGCTTATGCTTTCCAGGTACCTTATCTCTTTATAAATATTTAGTATTTGTCTAAATTTAAACTTCCTTTTAACGAGAACTCTTTCAAACTGGCAGAGTGTTCAAGCTAGCCTTGTTGCTGCAGAAAGATTGGTTTTGTTGGAAAAGGCTGTGGACGAATTAAAAGGAAAGGAGAAAAGTTCTCAAGCTCGTGCTGACGTTGATGCTCGAATGATCCAAAGCCTTCGTGGTGACAACTCGACTTTAACAAATCAAATTTCGACCCTAAAAACCCGTATCAAGTTGTTGGAGGCGTATGGGAGGAAAAAGAAGCAAGAAGTTACTGACGCAGCCTGTTTTTATGCTTGGAAGACCAGGGGTGAACTGATGGCTTCATTCCTCGCAGGTGAGATGTCAAGCTGGACTGCGGAACAGGATGTTGCTACCTGGTTAAAGCTTCAAGATGGGATGAATCCCCCGATTGGAGAAGATGGTTTTGACGTAGGCCAGTCTGATAATGAAGCTGAGTCCAGACGCTCCTGAGATAACCAAACACGCTCTTTCCTCTCTATTTTCTTGACTTTAAACACTTTTTGCTTTCAAAACTTACTCTGTTATCACTGCCCTTGCATTATGGTTTCCTGCCAGGGAATTTAATGTTTCCCTGCGAATTCATGGATCTTGTGCTTGGTGGTTTATCCAAGCCAAGTCCATGTTGTCTTGCGATCCCGTCGATACTCCTTTTTATCACCTGAATCCTATTTTTGTTAATGTGTGTGTTGTATTTGTCGCTTATGTGTGCAACATGCCATGTGCGTGTAGAGTCATATATGTGTTTGTGTTTGTGTTTTGGCCAAAACTTATTCAGTTTCATGGAACTTCATTCATGGTTTTTCCATAATGAGCCCCATGTCCCCTGTACATTGATGTTTTGTTCTGAGCAGATCTGGATGTTCTACCTGTCGTTCTGGTGCCTGTGTCACCTGGCATTCAGGTCTTATCCTGTCATAATCCTGCAATGATACCGTACCATTTGGGTCGGCCGTTGGCCCCAAGATTATGTGAAACGTAACTAATTACCTGTGATTTTGCCGTTTTTGTGTCTCCCTGTATCTACAATTATTGTTAGGGTCGGTCATTGGCCTTAAGCCAACGGCCCTCCGACGGTCAAGTTAGTTACTTTATTTAGCAACAGGAATAGATATGTAGGAAAGAAAAGAACTTATATTAAAAATGAAAATGTTTTAGATGTACCGCATTCCAACTTCGAGGGATTCGATTACCATCGATGGATTCCAGACGGTATGCCCCTTGACCAACAATGTCAATGATTTTGTAAGGTCCCTCCCAATTTGGACTAAACTTTCCAGCCGCTTCGTTGCCAAATGCTCTTCTCAAGACCCAGTCTCCCCTCTTGAATACTTTTACTCGGACGTTTTTGTTATAGCTTTTTGCAACCATTTGTTGATATGTCTGCAAGCGAATCTTGGCTCGTTCACGGATCTCGTCAATGGTGTCCAAGTCATGTGTCAACTCCACATTGTTCAATTCCTCAGTCATGAGTCCATATCTTGAAGAAGGTACTTCAATTTCAACAGGAATTACTGCTTCGCAGCCATACACAAGAGAGAATGGGGTCTGCCCGGTTGCATTTTTTGGAGTTGTTCTGTCTGCCCATAGTGTTAAAGGCAACTCGTCGGCCCACCTGCCTTGCGCCTTTTCAAGCCTTTTCTTTAAGTTGTTAATGATGATTTTATTGCTAGATTCAGCCTGTCCATTAGATTGTGGGTACCTGGGTGTCGATGTTTCCAACTTGATATTGTAACTCTCGCAGAAACGTCTGGTTTTAGCACTTATGAATTGAGACCCGTTGTCACAAACGATTTCTGACGGGACGCCGAACCTGCAAAGTATGTTTCTCTTGATAAACGAAATTACTTGGTCATCTCGAATCTGCCGGAATGGCTCAGCCTCCACCCATTTTGAAAAATAATCCGTCATTGCCAGCATATATACTTTCTGCCCCGGTGCCTCTGGCAATTTTCCTACGATGTCCATACCCCATTTCATAAAGGGCCATGGTGATAAGACCGGATGAAGCGACTCAGAAGGTTGATGACGGATTGGTCCGTGTAGCTGACAAGGCTTGCATCTTTGAGTGAAAATGGCTGCGTCTTCTCTCATGGTTGGCCAGTAGTATCCAAATCTAAGAGCCTTGTTAGACAGACTTCGCCCGGCTGCGTGGTTGCCACATTCCCCTTCATGAAAGTTTTTTAGCACTTTGATGGCTTCTTGAGGTGTCAGACATCTTTGATACGGGCCTGCGACAGATCTCTTAAATAGAATACCGTCAAATAGTAGAAATTTGCTCACCTTAGATAGGAAAGCTTTGGCCTCTTTTTTTGTCTTCCGGGAGAGTATTGTGCTTTAGATATGCTATGTATTGTTGCGTCCAGTCTCCTTGTGCCGGGAGTTCGATGGTAGAGACAACCTCTGATCTGTAAATTGCTGGACTCATCAAGTGCACAAAAGGGATGTTGCGATTAATTTCTGCCCCCAGACATGATCCGACCGCAGCCAGAGCGTCAGCTTGTGTGTTTTCTTCAAGTGGGACTAGTTCAAGGATTATCTCATCAAACGCCGTTATCAATTCTTGGACAATTTGCAAATAAGATGTCATCTTGGGGTCTTTTGCTGCGTATATGCCATTAGTTTGATTAATTATCAGTAAAGAGTCGCATTTTACCTCCAAGATTTTGACGCCCAAGTCCCTTGCCAACGTGAGTCCGACGATCAGCGCCTCGTACTCTGCCTCATTATTTGTAGCGGTGAAATCACAGTGTACTGCTTGGAGCATGGTGTCCCCTTGTGGTGACTTTAGTACCACGCCCAGGCCTGCTCCGTTCTTGTTCGACGCTCCGTCAGTATGCAACGTCCATTTTTGCTTTGGTAAGCCGTCGATCAGAGTGCAGGTCTCTTTTTATGCCTCCTCTTGGAGCTTTGGACTGAAGTCCGCCACAAAATCTGCAAGTGACTGTGATTTCAGGGCTGTTCTTGGTTCAAATCTTATGTCATAAGCTCCAAGTTGAATCGACCATTTAGCCATGCGACCTGTCAATTCTGGTTTCCTCATGATTGACTTCATGGGATAATTAGTTCTCACACAAATGGTATGTGATTCAAAATAAGGGCGTAATTTAATCGAAGCAACGACCAAAGCTAAAACTAACTTTTCAAGTAAGGCGACACCTGGATTCCGGGCCATTTAGGGATTTACTTACATAATAGACTGGAGTTTGCTGCCCTTGTTCTTCTTTTGTCAATACTGCACTAACGGCGTGCTCTGAAACGGCCAGATAAAGTTGCAATTCATCTTCGTCTTTGGGTTTTGCGAGAAGCGGTGGCGACATCATGTATTCTTTTAATTGCTAAAGTGCCTGTTCGTGCCGATCTGTCTATTCGAATTTTTTGTTCTTTCTCAAGACGTCATAAAACAAATGGCACCTGTCTGATGACTTCGAAATGAAACGATTCAAAGCCGTGACTCGTCCCGTCAATCTCTGGACATCTTTGACGGATTTTGGGGATTCAATGTCAATAATTGCCCGTATTTGTTCCGGGCTTGCCTCTATTCCTCGTTCACTGACGATATATCCTAAAAATTCCCCTGACGTCACCCCAAAAGTACATTTCGCTGGATTGATCTTCAGGTTGTATTTCTTCAACCTTCTGAAGGGTTCTGTCAGGTGATAGATATGATCCTCTTTCTTCTTTGATTTGACTATCATGTCGTCAATATAAAGTTCCATGGTATCCCCCATCAGATCTTTGAACATTAAGGTCACTAGCCTCTGAAATGTCGCACCTGCATTTTTTAGTCCAAAAGGCATAACAACATAACAATACGTACCTGTCTCCGTGATGAAGGCTGTGCTTTCTTGGTCATCGGGGTGAAGTTGTATTTGATGGTAACCACTGAATGCGTCCATGAAGCATAGCATTTCGTGCCCTGCCGTAGCGTCAGCTAATGCGTCAATGTGCGGCATTGGAAATGAGTCCTTGGGACATGTTTTGTTTAGGTCAGTGAAGTCCACACAGACTCTCCATTTGACTGGTTTGCCTTCCTCATGCCCTTTCTTTTTCTGAACGACAACAACATTGGCTAACCAATCGGGGTATTTTACCTCATTTACCTTCCCGGTTCAAAGCAGCGTATCAACTTCCTGATTGATAATGGCATTCCTCTCTTTTGCAAAGCGTCTTCTTTTCTGTCTGACGGGTTTGTGTGATGGGCTGACGTTTAACCTGTGAGTTATGATATTAGGATCAATACATGTCATGTCGTCGTGACTCCGGGCAAATACGTCTTTATGTTCTTTGAGGAAGTTTATCAGTTCGTCTTCGAGGTGCTCTGGTATGTCTTTCCCGATGCGGATGACCCTTTCTGGATGTTCCGGATCGATGGCGACTTCTTTTGTTTTGGCGTCATCTTCCACCAGAGCAGGGTCACCCTTTAATTGCTATGCGATCTTGGAGGTAGTTTGGTCCGCAGTTGGCCTCATCGCTGTCTGGTAGCAAGATTTGGCCGACTGTTGGTCCCCCTTGATGCTTTGCACTCCCCATGGTGTTGGGAATTTGACCATTTGGTGATAAGTTGACGGAATTGCCCCCATTTGATGCAACCAAAGAGTTCCCAAGATCATGTTGTATGCTGGTAGGCCCTCGACTACGTCGAATTTAACCTGCATATTTAAACCATGGGCATATACGGGTAACGATATATTACCTAGGGTTCTGCTTGGCTCGCCATTGAATCCGACCAAGCTTGACCCGGATCTTGTTATATCTTCCTCCTTAGCTCCCAGTTCTTTCAACATTTTCATGGTGGTAATATTTACGGTGCTTCCGTTGTCTACGAGGACTCGTTTGACTTCGCAGTTCGCTACTCTGAGGGAGATTACCAACGTATCGTGATGAGATTGTGCCGGATCAGAAATATCCGTTTCATCAAATGTGATCGACGCATTTCTCCACTCCTCTTGACGTTTTCCGATCCTGTAGACCTGCAACGATTTGTCTCGGGTGTAATCCTGGGCGTGTCTCTTTGCTGCAGAATACGTTAGTCCACATAAATCAGATCCACCATTAATAAAGTTGATTACCTTACACGGTGCAGAAGGCGAAGGCGGCCGAGACTCATCTGGTGACGCTTTATCATTCCGTCCTAACAATGATTTGGTGCGTTCAGACATGATCTCCGTCAGATAACCATTTTTCAGCAGATAGGCCACCTCCTTTCTCAATGCGACGCAATCCTTCGTGTTGTGTCCGATGTCGTTGTGGAAATCACAGCGCTTATTCGGGTCGCGACGGCCTGCTGGTTTGTCAGTCTTTCGAGGCCATCTGACCTTCTCTCCCAGCTTCTCCAGAGAATGAATGAGGCCCGGAGTAGCAACATTGAAGCAGTAGTCAGTGATGGTAGGGGGCAGTTCTGGATCGTCGAGCCAGTTTGCTACCGACGATACTAGCCTATCTTCAGTTCTGACGTAGGGTTTTCCAGTTCTGTAATCATGCTTTCTGGATGTGCCCGATTTGCACTGCCCTCCATCATATGCATCTGGACAATGTCGCGTTTGCTGGTCTTCCTCAAGCCTCATGAATGCTAGAGTTTTAGCCTGAACGTCTTCGAAGGTCCTGCACGGGTACTTTGTTAATTCCCGGTACAACTCTGAATCGTCGGCTAGGCCTCTCCGAAATGCCTCAATTGCTGTCAGAATGTCGCATCGCGGAATGGAAACTTTTTCCTTGTTAAAGCGGTGCAAGTAGTCTCGTAACGATTCGCCTCGTCGCTGCATGACCCTATAAAGATTGCTAGTCTGCTTCTCAAGTACTCGACTGCTTGCGAATTGATGATTGAATAATTCGACCAGTTCTGCAAATGATCTGATGCCCTCATTAGGTAAGTTGACAAACCATTTAAGTGCTGGACCTGATAGCGTTGCCCCGAAGCCTCGACACATGCATGCTTCCCTTTGGTCTGGTCGGAGCGATACGGCAAGCATTCGCTGTTTGTACTGGGCGACGTGCTTTACCGGGTCAGACGTGCCGTCGAACATCTTCATGGACGGAGCGGCGAACTTGCGGGGTACTTCAACATCTGTGATCTGCCTGCTGAAGGGCGAGTCCGCATAACACGTCTGTGAGGCTCGATCTAATGGAAGTGGTACTCCGGACAGTCCGTTGATTTTGTCCTGCATCTGCCGGAGTTGTTCCATAATCATCGATATCGGGTTCACTAGGCCTGGCTGGGTTAACTCTGGCGTTGAAATCGTCGGTCCTGCCACTTGGGTTACTGCGTGACGATTTGGTGACTGAATGACTATGATCTATGGATGCCGCTCTTCGCCACTCTGTCCTGTTGAAGTGGCCGGTCCATGCTGTCGCTGGGCTTGAAACTCGTCAAAGATACTCCGTCTCCTGTTGTGCACGATGCCGGACGGACCGGGGTCACCATGAGTTCGGCTCCTGTAGTGAGGGAGGTATGGCTCCGATGGGGCTGTTGCGCCTGTCGTCATTGGTAGACTTTGAGTGGCAGTTTGCAAACCTGTCCTCCTTGCTTCGGGACGTAATGATTCCGGGAAGAAGCACGTCGGAATGCTAGGGATGGGGGTCGTTTCAGGGACGAGCGGTGTGTACGGTATCACTTGAGAGATGACGGTGGGTTGTGACTCCCCGGCGGGTGAGAGGCCCAACGTGAGGGAGATGGGTTCGGAAGTGACAATGGGTGCATCCGTCACCGCCGGAGTAGATTCCAAATCAAGTCTAGTGACTACGGGCATAAGATCGTTTCTCAGGTTACTCCTGGAGTTGGATGCGATTGAAACTGCTGACTGAACTTGGGACCGGAGCAGATCGTTTTCTCGCTGGAGATGTGACATCCTTTCCGCCAATTCTCGACGAAATTCTGCTCGAACTGCCTCCATTTGAGTGTGGATCTCCTTTAACAAGGGGTTGTTTTCGGCCATGATTGATGATCTTTCTCTTGCACGATGCCCCACGGTGGGCGCCAAATTGTTTAGGCAGAAAATAATTATTCTACTAACAATCTATTTGTGAGATAGGGAATCGTACAAGATAATATTCAACGAACGTATGATCAACGTATGAATCAATATTAATCAATTTTCGAATGAAAAACAAGAATGAGTATATTTAGTGAGCCAAAAGATCATACGTCCTCTCTTCTACCGCTAGTCTATTTAAAATAAAAGTTTCAGCCTTATCCCCCACGTGGACGAACTGCCCGGCGAAATGATAGCCTCTCCTACTGAGGCGGGAACCGTTCCTCCATTTTCTCCTCAACTTCATAGGCCTCCTTATCCACTTCGTCACATTATTTGATTAAGTCGGACTCTGTAGAATTCTTAAGGCTACGTGGGCTGATCCGTTTAACAAATCCAAACCCAACAATGGGCCGATTCGCTTGACAAATCCGGGCCCAACAGTATATATTGAATCCAACCTGCTACAAGGCTCCCAAAGCAAAGTATACATAGAGAAAGATGTGGGCTAGGCTGCTAAGATGGGACTAGTAGGCCCAATTACACCAAAAAGACTACTAAATGGTATAAAGACTCTAATGTGTACAAATAAATATGTAGTGTACAATAAATATGTGTCCAAGCCCAATAGCCATGAAATCAGTGTTTCGAGTTCATATACTCTATCAAGTGTTATAATCTTCACACAGTTATTATAAATGCTTTTGTACCTGCTATCAGTTTTGCATCTAATGTTGAGAGTCGGAACAAAAGCATTATACGCATGTTTGACCAAACAAGACTTAGTAAGTAACATAGGACGAGTAAAAAATTAAAATAAACCACATATGCATAGGGTTTCGGTCTTTTAAAACAATTTGAGAGAAACCAAAAGTATAACAATTTAAGAGAAACCAAAACTAAAACAATTTTGCGGCCTATACTGCCTGAAGACTTCAATGCAAAACTCTAACAATAGCAATAATGATAGCGCTATTATGTGGTTTCCTATAACAAAACTACGACTCGCTCTATAATTCCAACTAAAATTGATAACTTTTTTGCACTAGCAATCGCACATCTCTGCCTAAAAATTTCTTTTGCGCGGGTGATGTTGAAATAACACCTACAGCAAAGGATGTGAATCAAATGGAGAAATGGAGGGAGTAATAACAGGAAAAACAACGAACTGTTAATAGAAACCTAAAAAATTATTACGCGGAATTGGTGTATACTGCGGAATAAGTAACAAAAACTAAAAGAAAAAACACAACAAAGAAAATACTTACATGAAGAGTGAACAAAAAGAGTGGTGTTTCATAAGCATCTTGCCGTAGAGTGGTTATTCAAATATGGAAGCTGAAGGACGATAGCTTAAATACCTGGTAGGACGGGGAAGAATAGGAGTGAGAACGCGAGAGCGGAAGGTTCTTTCGATAGCTGTTGGCGTAAATATACAAAGGCTTGCAGCAGCAATCAACACAAGGGACACGTCCAGATCAGAAGATAGTAGATTTTACTAGATACTTCTAGAATAGTTTGGTTGTTACAAGTTTGTTACGTAACAACTACTATTTATATATCTTCTGAATAGCTAGCTAAGAGCAGAATGTATAATAACTCTTCTTTGAATCAATGTTAATGTGTAGTTCGTTTCTTCTCTCTTCTTTCATGTATGCATAATACGTATTTTACGTATGCAATTTCTTCATGGTATCAGAGCCCACTCTGAAATCAAATATAGTTTCTGAATTTATGCTTGCAATCCATAATCATTCATCAAGGAATCTGCAGAAATGACGGAAAGTAATGATCAAAGATCTTCTGGCAAACGACCAGCTTCAGAGGATGTTACCAGTCCTTTCTTTGTTGGATCAGGTGATAATCCTAATTCTGCATTAGTTAATCCACCGTTGAATGGAAATAACTTCCATTCATGGAGCAAATCCATGAAAATCGCACTCGGTGCGAAGAACAAGATGAAAATAATAAATGGATCAATATCTAAACCTGAAATTGATGATCAAAACTTTGAGCTGTGGGAGCGATCTGATCTAATGGTTCAGTCTTGGATATTGAATTCCTGTACAAAAGAAGTTGTGCAATGTATTTTATATGAGGACACGGCAGCAGCAATGTGGACCACTTTAAATGAAAGATTCTCACAAGGAAACCTTCCCAGAGTCTTCGACTTACAGAAATAGATCCATGCTACAATACAAGGTATCCTCGGTGTAACTGAGTATTATAATAAGTTGGATTCATTGTGGAAAGAACTAAATCAATATAATCCCGTCATTGGATGCATTTGTGGAGCAGTGAAAGGATGTAAATGTAGTTTTCTGAAAACTATGATTGAAAGAGAAGAAAGAAACATGTCTATTAAATTCCTGATGAGTTTAAATGATGTTTTTGCTGGTGTTCGTGGTCAAATTCTGGTTATGAAACCATTTCCAAGTTTAAATCAGGTTTTCAGTTTTGTTCTCCAAGATGAAATGCAGAGAAGTATGAGCAGCGGAATAAATCTTGAATCAATGGCAATGGTAAGTAAAGGAGAAGTGATTGAATACGATGCTTTTGATCATTCTGCAAATAATGGAATGCATAACAAAGGATATAAGCCTTATAATCAGAACATGAAAAGAGAGAATAAGCTTTTATGCAATCATTGTGGTTTCACCAATCATACCATTGACAAATGCTACAAACTCCACGGATATCCACCTGGATATAAACCAAAGAATAAACAGATTCAGAACTCAGGACAACCTGGTGGAAGTAACACAGGAAATGTGAAAGCCTATAGTGCACAGATAGAAGGAAATCCGCAAAGAACAGATGATAATGTCATTCCAGTTGTTATTCAGGAGCAGTATCAACATTTGTTAAGCTTGATCCAAAATTTGGCCCATTCTCAGAACACAAATCTTACTCCATTGACTTCCAATAACAAAATTCCTGAACCAGGTAGCCATTTTAATTTCTATACATCTGTGATTAGTGCAAATATCATATTGACCAAATGTAAGTCTTGGATTCTTGACACAGGAGCTACTGACCATATGGTTGGTAATTTTTCCCTTTTCCATTCTTATACTCCTGTATCAAATGTGTTTGTTCATCTGCCTACAGGGTCAAAAGTGTCAGTTACTCACATAGGAACTGTTAACCTATTTCCAAATGTCACCTTAAACAAAGTCTTATATGTGCCCAACTTTAATGTCAATTTGTTGTCAGTCAGTAAGTTGCTATCTGAAACACCTTTGGTTCTTACCTTTTCTGCTGATAAATGTGTCTTACAGGACAAAACTTTGAGGGTGAAGATTGGCACTGCTGATTTGACTGAAGGGCTGTACATGTTGCATTCTCAACCACACATTTCTTTAGCTAAATCCTTACATATTTCCAATAATGTTGTTTCCAGTGTTTGGCATCAAAGATTAGGTCATGTTTCTGATGCTAAGCTTCAATTGTTGAAAGATGTCTTAAACTTTTCTGTTCTTGACAATAAACAATGTGGTGTTTGTCCTATGGCAAAACAACATAGACCGCCCTTTCCCAAAAGCACAATTAAATCAATAAAAAATCTTTGATCTCATCCATTGTGATGTATGGGGTCCATTTTCTGTCCCTACTCATGATGGTTTTCAGTATTTTCTCACTATAGTTGATGATTTCTCAAGGGTTGTTTGGTGCTGTCTCATGAAACACAAATCTGAAACTCAACATCATCTTATATCATTTCATAAATTTGTTCTCACACACTACTCTACCCGGATAAAGACCATGAGAACTGATAATGGATCTGAATTCCTATTATCAGACTTTTATTCCAAAGAAAGCATTATTCATCAAACTACATATCCTTACACTCCACAGCAAAATGGAATTCCTGAACGAAAACATCAAACTCTTTTGAACATTGCTAGAGCCCTGAGATTTCAAGCTAATCTTCCTCTATCTTTCTGGGGTGACTGCATTCTAACTGCAGTTCATATAACCAACAGAATACCTGCATTAGTTTTACAGAATAAAACACCCTATGAAGTTTTCCATAATCAAAAGCCTGATTATTCCAATCTTAGAACCTTTGGTTGTTTATGTTATGCATCCAATCTTTCTGGTCACAAACATAAATTCCAACCAAGAGCCAGAAAATGCATTTTCATTGGTTACCTTTCCCACACCAAAGGATACAAACTATATGATCTTGAGACATGTCAAACACTGAAATCAAGGGATGTGATCTTTCATGAATCTGTCTTTCCCTTCCACCACCATCCTTCCTCAACTAACAATGACAACATCACTCTTCCAATCTTTGTTTCAGATGATTCACACTCAAAATTTCTATCACAAACCACAGATATTCACACTCAAAATTTCACAACAATTAATACTCCTTCCACACCTTCTTTCATTGACTCTCACACTCAATCTTCCAATAATATTCCTTCTCCATCCCCACCACCAACTTTAAATCCCATTCATGTTACACCACCCCAATCTTCTGTTCCCATTAGACCTCCAAGAAACAAAAAATTACCTTCACATCTTAAAGATTATGTATGTACAATCACTCAAAACCAGCATTCTGCAGTGCTTTCTTCATCATCCAAGGTTTCACCTGGTAAATCTTCTCATCCTTTACATAACTACTTTACTCTTACCAAATTCTCTCATTCACATCAAGCTTTCTCTGTTGCTATTTCTCACATCACTGAACCTACTTTATACAAACAAGCCTCTTCTGATCCAAATTGGAGACAAGCTATGCAAAATGAGATTTCTGCTCTTGAATCAAATGGTACTTGGCTTATCACTGATCTACCTGCTGGAAAGACTCCTATCAAATGTAAATGGGTTTACAAGATTAAGTATAATGCTGATGGGACCATAGAGAGATATAAAGCACGCCTTGTTGCAAAGGGATTCACTCAAATTGAAGGACTAGACTTTCTAGACACTTTTTCTCCTGTTGCAAAGTTAACTACAGTACGAGTGCTTCTTGCTCTTGTTGCATCTAAAGGTTGGTTTTTGGAACAACTAGATGTCAACAATGCCTTTCTCCATGGTGATCTACATGAAGAGGTCTATATGACCATACCTCAAGGATATACACACAAACACAAGTCTAAAGTCTGCAGGTTGCTTAAAAGTCTGTATGGATTGAAACAGGCTAGCAGGCAATGGTTCTCCAAA